GATCCACCATCTGTTTGCCTGTTTTTTCCTTGTTATCGCTGCCCATTGCCCATCCAAATGCATCTAAAAAAAAAGCACTGATGACCTGCGGCAAATCTAGAAGGGGCTGGGGGGAGCATGTGATCTGGCTGCCAGATGTAGAGGTGCGCCACTACCCCAACTAAAGCAGCAGGTGCAAGACTTGCTCCAAATCCGCCATCGGAACCTTGTCTTCCTGGAAACAGCCACATTCTGAGGGGAAGCAGTCACTGCTTCCTCAACCCCCAGACATCAGGGAATGTGCTCTTGCCTCTGCTCCTCCAACACCACCCATGCTAATAAAGGTAGGACTAGGAGAGTGTGCCTGTAACTGTGTGTGCCTGTAACAGTGATGATGTTTTTGACTATGTGTCCGTGATTATGTATGTTGTCTGACTGTGTGTGCCTGTGCCTTTGTGTGTGCCTGTAATTATGTGTATGCCAGTGTACAGTTTACTGAGTGTGTTGTGTGCGACTCTATGTGTAATGTTTAGTACAAATGAATCAATATTTATTATTACATATATAACAGCATCTTCATATTGCTGCCTTGTTACACAAAATTTCTGCAGCCGCCATTTAAAATCCCTCGAACATTCCACCAACTGCCAACAGGAACAGGAAGTGGTGAGCCAAAAGAAAGTAAGTACATCATCCACAGCCATCCGAGAGATATCTCTTGTATTAAGGTTTGTGCTGAAAAGAGTTTGGAGTTGATTTACTAGTTAGTGGCAGACGTGGTGCTATTAATGTGTCTTGCAGAATAGCTTCCAACGGAACCCCCCACAATTCTAGAATGTGTGTTTTATTTAATGTTCTGAGTTAGTGGGACGCTTAGACAAAACATAAATAATGTTGACAAAGGTGAAAGTATTCTAAATAGTGTCAAAGTACTTATGTAGGCAGCCATCTGAGGAAAGTGTTTGTGTCATGTTTTATATATATAACACACACACACATACAGACAGAAGAAAAATTATAATAATTACATTTGGCTTTCTGTAAAAACAGAAAGCCCTACATCCTCTGTAGGGCAATGATTATTAACCATTTTAAACAATGACCCAAATGACATGCAAGGCACTAGCTTGATAACCCTTTTTTATTTTAAAATAATCACTGTTTTTCCAAATGTTACTTAATATAGAAGAATAAAAATTCAACATAGCATCCATTAGACTTACTGCAGTGTTAGATACTGGGAGTCAAGTCCAGTAACTGATTTATTATGGACAGTTACCTGTGGCTTGATGAAAACCAGGGCCGGACTGGGAAAAAAATTCGGCCCGGGCATTTTTTTTATCACAGCGGCCCACTAAGAAGGGGGTGGGGCAGAAAGGGTGTGTTTTGTCATCACTCATGACAAACACGCCCCCTCTCAAAGTGAGCATGTTGGTTCAATGCTCTTCCAGGGCAGACCATGCGCAGAGCTCTGTTGAAGAACTCTAGCATGAGAAAAAAAGCCCTGTATTTGTTCTGCACAGTGCAAGGAAATGTAATAACATGCTTGCACTGTGTTTCCTTGCAACTTGTCTCTGGTGTCTCTATAAATGGATACCAGGGGACAAAAGGGCCAGGAAAGAGTATTGTGCATGTGTTTGGAGCCTGCTTGTGGTATTGCGTGTGTGTAGAGTGAGCTGGCCGTGGTGTGGTATTGTGTAATAAGGTCGATTTTAGTCGTGTTGTGTTTGTGGTGTAATGTAATGCATATGTGGCTAGGGGCTGTAGAGAATGTGTGTATAGGGGATGTAGCAAGTGTGTGCATACAGGCTATAGTGTGTGTGTGTGTATAGGTGATGTAGTGTCTGTAGAGAGTGTGTGTTCAGGGAATGTAGTATGTGTTTGCTTACAAGGAATCTAGTGTGCGTATAGGGGATCCAGAGTGTGTGTGTGTATATATATATATATATATATATATATATATATATATATATATCAAACTATACAACTGTACAGATACACCAAAACCGTGGAAAAGACACACACTTAGTGGGCAGTGAATATACCAAAACCGTGGAAAAGACACACACTTAGTGGGCAGTGAATGTAGTATGTGTTTGCTTACAAGGAATCTAGTGTGCGTATAGGGGATCCAGAGTGTGTGTGTGTGTGTGTGTATATATATATATATATATATATATATGAGTTTTGTGTGTGTTTGAAGGACCCAGACTATGTATAGGAGATCTAGTGAGCGTGCGTATATAATGGATTCAGAGTGTATATAGGGATCTAGTGTGTGTATGTGTGTAGATGATACAGAGTTGGGTAAAGGATCTGGTGTGTGTCTGGAATGTAATGTGTTTAGGGGTGCAGTGTGTGTGTGAGGGGTGCTGTGTGTGTGAGGGGTGCTGTGTGTGTGTGTGTGTATATATATATATATTTTTTTTTATAAATATGTTTGGAAGTATTGTGTATGTGTGTGATGCAGTGTATCGGGGGGTTGTGTGTGTATGTGAGGGGTGCAGTATGTGTGTGTGAAGGATGCTGTGTGTGAGGTGTGAGGTGTGATGTGTGTGAGGGTGCTGTGTGTGTGAGGGTGCTGTATGTGATTGATTTGTGTGAGGGTGCTGTGTGTGTGAGTGTTGTGTGTGTGAGGGTGCTGTATGTGATTGATTTGTGTGAGGGTGCTGTGTGTGTAAGGGTGCTCTATGTGATTGATTTGTGTTTGTGTGTGCTGTGTGTGTGGGTGCTGTGTATGATGTGTGTGAGAGTGTTGTGTGTGAGTGCTGAGTGTGATAGTGCTGTGTATGATGTGTGTGAGTGCTGAGTGTGATGTGTGTGAGAGTGCTGAGTGTGTTGTGTGTGAGAGTGCTGAGTGTGATGTGTGTGAGAGTGCTGAGTGTGATGTGTGTGAGAGTTCTGAGTGTGATGTGTGCGAGATTGCTGAGAGTGCTGTGTGTGAGAGTTCTGAGTGTGATGTGTGCGAGATTGCTGAGAGTGCTGTGTGTGAGAGTGCTGAGTGTGATGTGTGTGAGAGTGCTGTGATGTGTGAGATTGCTGTGTATGATGTGTGTGAGAGTGATGTGTGTGAGAGTGCTGTGTGAGAGTGTTTTGTGTGTGAGTGCTGAGTGTGATGTGTATGAGAGTGCTGAGTGTGAGAGTGCTGTGTATGATGTGTGTGAGAGTGCTGTGTATAAATGTTGTGTGTTGGGGTAAATAAACAAATAAAAAATTAAGTGGGGTTAAATATACAAATAAAAAAAACTAAGGGGGTAAATAAACAAGAAAAAAACTAAGGGGGGTAAATAAATAAAAAAACTAAGGGTGGTAAATAAACAATAAAAAAAACTAAGGGGGTAAATAAATAAAAAACTATGGGGGGTAAATAAACAATAAAAAAAAACTAAGCAGGCATTAAATCCCCCCCTCCCTTCTTACCTTTAGCCTGGGAGGGGGGGGATCTGGGATGGGGGACTGGCACTCGTTCATCATCCCTGGTGGTCCAGTGGTGAGTGAACTCTAGCCTAAGGGCTAGAGTTCACTCTCGCGAGATCGGGGCGTTGCCATGGCAACGCTCCCGATCTCGCGAGAGGAGCCCGGCGGAGCTGCAAGATAGAGCTCCGCCGGGTCCTCTCCCTCCCTCCCCAGCCGCAGGTCTATTTAAATGGGCCAGTGAGGGAGATCTTTGATCTCCCCACCGGCCCTCCATGGAAGACAGCAGGGCCGGCGCTCGGATAGTGCCGGCCCTGCATAGACCGGCAGGGGAGATCCCATTTGCCCGGTGTGCCCGATGGCCAGTCCGGGCCTGATCAAAACTATTTGCTGGTGGGGACCCATTAAACTAGAACATACACTCAATTTTGGGTGCTAACACAAAGGTTAAAAAGAGTAGACATAGTGCAGTGTGACGTAAAGAGATATATTTTCTTAGTGAATAAACATTAACATGTTATCAAAGTGATGAAATCCTATCACCACATTCCACAGGAAATATTGCAACAAGAGATTTCATGTGTTACTAGAAAATTCCTGGATCCCACACAATTCTATCACTTACTAAAAGTAATAAATAACGTTAAACAAACAGATTTGAGGAACCACATCCAGCACTGACCAGAAAAGGTTTAATCATTATAGGAACGCTATAGTCACCTAAATTACTTTAGCAAAATAAAACAGTTTTAGTGTATAGATCATTCCCCTGCAATTTCACTGCTCAATTCACTGTCATTTAGGAGTTAAATCACTTTGTTTCTGTTTATGCAGCCCTAGCCACACCTCCCCTGGCTATGATTGACAGAGCCTGCATGAAAAAAAAACTGGTTTCACTTTCAAACACATGTAATTTACCTTAAATAATTGTATCTCAATCTCTAAATTGAACTTTAATCACATACAGGAGGCTCTTGCAGGGTCTAGCAAGCTATTAACATAGCAGGGGATAAGAAAATCTTAATTAAACAGAACTTGCAATAAAGAAAGCCTAAATAGGGCTCTCTTTACAGGAAGTGTTTATGGAAGGCTGTGCAAGTCACATGCAGGGAGGTGTGACTAGGGTTCATAAACAAAGGGATTTAACTCCTAAATGGCAGAGGATTGAGCAGTGAGGCTGCAGGGGCATGTTCTATACACCAAAACTGCTTCATTAAGCTAAAGTTGTTCAGGTGACTATAGTGTCCCTTTAATAAGAACATTGTAACATTCTATCCCACCTTCTCTAGACTGTAAGCTCTTTCGAGCAGGGTCCTCATCAACCTAATGTTCTTGTAACATTTTGCAGTTGTTTTATTTATCGTTAAATTTCCCCCTTTTATAATATTGTAAAGCGCTAAGGAATAAGTTGGCGCTATATAAATGACAAAAATAATTTTAATAATGACATGCTGTCATGTTCAAAATCCTGCATTTGCTGTAATTCTTCAGAGTTTACAGCTTCTACATTGAGCTCTGCCCAACAACCAGTAAAAACAAAGTTTTATTGGATCAACAAAAACCAAAGGCGTAAATGAAGTGGCAGCATTAACACAGTGGTAGTGCGACAAGTGTTTTATTAGTTGATGCAAAAATCAACCACTGACAATGCTACAACATAGGCATGAGACCTATCTTAGCACAATGAGGAGACTGTAAAAAAGTTTTAAGAACCATACCAGCAGGTCACTGAAAACCATACGGTAGGTTAAGAAACACAGAGGAGATGAATCATCAAAGCACACATTTCTATATACTTTTAGCAGCTCATTGACCTTCTGCACCGACTTATAGATTTTTTTTGCTGTACTGTTTAGCAGATCCTTTTTTTATTATATATTAACAAGTACACTTGCCGTGACCTTTAAAGTCTTAGATCACTAGGCACCTTGTACCAATTATTCTTCAATTTTTTGCCAGTCGATGGTCACATAGATTTAGATTTCTTTTACGGTTGAATAATATTGCGGATGTTGTTAAATTAAATTTTTTTGTGTATTTTTGGCATCAAGGACAAAAACAGCCCATGGAAAGGAAGCCTTGGGTGGAAGGCAACTGAAGAAGAAAAGCTAATTACAGTATGAAATATTATGTTTAATAGGAATGTTTATAATGATACTCAAATCAGATTGTTTAAGAATTTTCTCAGCGAAACATTGATGCTCTCTACAAAAACTGGAAAACATATGTTATTCTGGCCCAAAGAATTGAAGCATTAACATGAATTGTAACAAAAATAATTTATTTAATGCAGTACCATTTTTATATAAAATATCACATGCAAAGCTATAATCAAGTCAGGATCTGTCTCAGATGAAAAGCTGGAATTTAAAAAAAAAAACCAAAAAAACAAACTGATTTTCTGATGATTTCATGTAATAACTCATACTATAAGTCGTTGCTCTTAGTAGGTAGAATTCCTGCCAAGAGAGTGAAATTGTCTTATCTTATAAAAGTATCTTATGTGACACTGTTCAGAAATCCCATTATTTTTTTAAAATTAATTTACTAGTTTATATGTGAAAATTAATTGAAAAATAATAAAAAAATGTAAACTTTGTTCACTGCTTTTCCTATAAATTCCCAGACTCAACAATTTCTGCCCAAACTAGGATGAAATTCAGCCCAGACCACCTCAGCTAATTAAAGTAGTCTGTGTGCTGTGACCCTTTTGCACTTAGTGCTGTTTACATTGCAGCTCTAAGCCTGCCCTCTGTGACTGTCTAACAGACAGCCACTAGAGGGCTTCCGGAACCCAAACAGACTATTGGTCCGTTATCTGACGCTGGGCGTCCTAACGGGCCTCCAGCATCAAATTTTCCCCATATAAAAACATTAGGTCTCCCCCGCCGTCTGACGTCAGCGAGGGAGGAGCGTGGGCGGTGCTTGACCCAGTGCTGAGAGGCATCGGCACTGGATTCAGGTAACTGGCTGAAGGGGTTTTATCCCCTTGAGCCCCGCAGGAGGGGGGCACTCCAGGAGCCTATAGTGCCAGGAAAATGGGTTTGATTTCCTGGCACTATAGAATCCCTTTAACCTTCTTGCAGTGCTGGGACTGTACCCATTAGCTTCTCCACAACAGTGCTTTCTGTGAGATGTAGTTCAACTGTCAGCCTTCTGCTGTAAAAAGCTAGCAGTTAACTACCAAGCGATGAAGTAAAGCTAGCAGTTGAACCCAAACGATGAAGTTACATACAGCTGTATCATTAGGACAAACAGGGGAAACACTGTATGTTGGAAAGAAGCAGCGAAGGTATCCTTACAGAGCAGTTAAAAAAAACAAAAAAAAAACTGAAGGAGGATAGGAAAATATAAACCCACTCAGTATAACTAGGTGTAACCTACACATTGCACACAATATGTGGGTGTCCACAGTACCCTTTAAACAAAATAATATTATTCCTTAAGTTAACAGTGACAGCAAAAACAATCTGCCATTTATTAATTATTTAAAAAAATAAAAACATATGTATATTAAATGCAGTGTGTGTGTGTGTGTATATGTGTATATAT